TTAAACAATTTAAAATATTTTAAATATAACCAATTTTCTTAATATAATTTAACAATACCTTATTAAGAACGTTCTTTCTCATCTGCTGGGTAAAATATTTAGGCAATCCTTCATGAATTTTAGCCAACATATGAACTTTTTGGGTTTCATCTTGGAATTCAACAGTTACTTCAGATTCTGGTATTTTCTATATATATGTTATTATACCAAGATAATTTCTTTGTGCATATCTAAAAAAATGCTTACTATTAGCATTAATTAATAAACAAGCAGCTATTAGTATAAATTTTATAGTTTATATTACCTATAAATTCCAATTAAACATGTTAATTGAAGATTTTAATATATCGATAACGTTTCATAACATCTATAGAAAGATAAGAATAAATATCCACATATTGATAGTAACCAAATTGTAAAATAACATCATTTAACTCTTGATATTGTTCATTAAGATTATCTTCCTTACAGCCAAGAACATAAAACATACTAGCATTATTTGTTGGATTACGTGTTGATTTATCATTGTGATGAATAGTGGTCATTATTTTTTTACTTTTTACAAGATGTTTACTATATTTTTGCATCATATTTGCTAAGGAAATTATAGCGGGAATAACATTATTTTATTCATTATCATTCACCCAAGGTTGCCCTATAGAGAGTTCTAATAATTTGATTAAAAGATCCAACTTTTGATATGAAATAGGTTCTTTTTTGTGATGACTAGTATGATATGTGAGATTATAAGTATTTCTATTAATATCATCACTTGCATATGTTGCCAATTCTTTAAAAAGCATGGGCATATGACAGGAACAAGATTGTAATAATTTTAAATATGGATCGATATACCAAAGAGCATTTGCAATATGTTCTACAAATTCCTTTCCTAAAGTTTGATGAATACCTCTCGTCCAACCAGCTTTTTAATTATGCAAAAGATTAATGATCTCATTGTATAATAGGTCATATCTAGTACGTTCAGTACAGTGTTGTGAAAGTTGTAGTTGTCGTATATTAATCATCATAATTTTAAATGCATCAGAAAAACAGAGTGATTCTATATTTCTTACAGATTCTGTAAGAAGCAAAAATTTTACATGATTATATTCTAAGACTTCCATAATTTTAAGATCACTATTTAAACTGTCACTTACTTCTACCCATTTGTCAACCTTATTTTGACAAATATAAACTACAATACCTTGATTATTAAATTGTCCAGAGGTAAATATTTCATATAATTCTGAAAACTGTGTATTTTCTATAATTGTGATTATTCGCTCAGGTAGTATACATTTAATACCTTCAGTAACTGTTACTACAAGATATAACATATTTTTATACATTTATATAAGTTTCTAATGCATCTATTAGAAATTTTTCTGATATAAACTAGAGCTATCTGTGGAACCACCTCCTGATTCATGATCTATTAGGTTTTATTGATCAGCGATCATCATTTGGTTTTGAATCGCATCAAATATTTTACCGTTTTCCATAGGTAAATATTTGATTTAAAAAAAATTAATGAGTTTTTTTTGCTTTGGATAGAGTAAAAAAAAAATAAAATAATAAGTCGAAACTTACCTAAACAAAGAATCAACAATTGTGCAAGAAAATTTGCACGATCTTTTGAAAGTATCTAATTTTTTTTAGATATACGCCCAGCCAAGAATGGAAAATTTAAATAAAAAAATTAATTTTATTAATATTTTTTTTTGCATTTGATAAAGTAAAAAAAAAAACTAAAAAATTATTAATATTAAATCCAAACTCATCTAAATAAAGAGCGGAATTAAGCTGATATCTCGGAAAAAGCCTCAAATCAAAGTAACTTTTAATATTAATTCAGAGGAAAAAGGTATTTAAAAATTTAGAGTAAAAATTAAATAAAATTAATATTTTTTTTTTAAAAAAAAAATGATAAGATCAAAATGAAACTCACCTAAATGAAGAGTGAGATTGAGCTGATACCTCGGAGAAAGCCTCAAATCAAAGTAACTTTTGATATCGATTCGGAGGGAAAAGGTATCTAAATTTTAATTTTTTTTAGAGTAGAAATTAAAATAAAAATGATAAGTCAAAATGAAACTCATCTAAATGAAAAATAGGATTGAGCCAATACCTCAGAAAAAGCTTCAAATCGAAGTAACTTTCGATATAGGTTTGGAGGGAAAGGAATCTAATTTTTTATTTTTTTTTAGATACTATGTCCCAAAAAATAATTATTAAATATCGCTATATAACTTTCGCTATAAAAATACAAAGGCTCCTGAAATTTATTCAGCAGAGCAAATAGCCCTAAGTGATAAAAGAATTAGTGAACGCACTGAACAAATGAATTTGAAAGTAATCCAGAATTTAAAAGGCAGTTAATTCAAAAACAATAAAATCTAACATTAATCAACAACAAGACACCAAAAAAATGAAAATATAAAAGGTGAAGTATCCGGAGGCAATTAATGCAATATAAGATAAGTGAAAATATGTCATTTTTTTTATTTTCAATAAAATATTTTATTAACTGTTTTACTTTTAGATATATTTATATATATTTCAGATAAAAAAATTTTTTGATTTTTATTACAAAAAAGTGAATATAAATTAAAAAAAATATCTTTAATAAGTATGACGCAACATTATATTAATAATATAACTTTCTAAAGCAACATCATATTGTTTGAAAGAAAATTTCGAATAAGCTTACCAGAAATGGGTTAACTATTTAACGTAACAAAATGAAAGTCTTATTATTGTTCTATATATAAGAGGTTTATTAGTAACGCCAAATCAGATTTCTAATTCTATGTTGGAAATTTTTTTGTAAATCATTGACAAGTAACTCATAGTAACGCCCTAAAATTTGTACTATGATAATTTAGAGATATAATTCTATTATTATTAATCTGCTGATAAATTTAATCAATAAATCACATGATTATTAAAATTTGCAATTTCATTGGTCATATATATTGTATATTATTACATACTAAATAATAAAAAATGGGGGGAGGGGGTTATGTAAACTGTATATTCTAATTAGTCAGGCCTTAGCTTAAAAAGTAAAATTTTAATTTTTTTAGAGTTTCCTCCCTTTCTATTGTAAAGCTCCTATATAATTGATTATTTAATTTAACTGCATTAGTCTTTTTTGAGAATTATAATAATTATACCAAAAAATATAAAAATAAAATTTAATTTTTATAATTAATGAAGTAGTGAAATCCAATTTGTATCAAATATCAGCTAGAGACTCAAGGTTTCAAAATATTTTTTTTTATTTTATTTTTATTTTTTATTTTTTATTATTTTTATATTTAATTGAGTAGCAAGACCCAGATCATATCAAATATGACTGGAGAATCAAGGTTTTAAAAATATTTTTTATTATTTTATTTTTATTTTTCTATTTTATATTTTTTATTTCTTTTATATTTAATTGAGTAGCGAAACCGAATACTACCAAATATTGGCTAAAAACTCAAGTTTTTTTAAAAAATAATTTGTATATTTTATGCATTGTATTACTAAAATTATTACTTTTATATGAATATATCATTAATTTGTGTATAAGTGAATCAGAATTACTAAATATTATAGTAAAATAAATATTTAACCTACATATTAAAGCATTATATATAATTAAACCTATGTCTAAAACTTTAAATCAATAAGATTTGAAAATGCAATATTTAAAGTATTTTATTGTATTGAATATAAAACAAATTGCTTAAGTTTGTGATAATATTTTTATTAACCTATGATATTAAATATTAAAAATAAATTATGATTAACCTAATGCAATTAGTGGCAGACAGTGATACAAGTATTATATATGTTCATAAATTGACATAATTAACTAATTTAGTAAAGGGTTACATTCTTTTATTTGATATTTCAAAAAACCAACTAATCAACAGCTGTTTCCCAATTTTATTATGAAAAAAAAACTTACAATTATATAAAAAAAAATTAAAAAATATAATAAACAATATATATTAAAATTATTCAGATTTCTCATAAGTGAGTTTTATCAAGATTATTTTTTTTCACTGTCTAGACTTTCTAAACCTTTTTTCTTCTTAATTTTTTGCTAAAATTAAAAAAATTAATATTACTTTATGTAATACTACTTAAATCTTATACAGTCAAACCTTGATATAGCGAACTCTTGATATAGCGAATTTTTAAATCAAATATATTAAAATTACCTTTACTATAGTGAACTAGCCAATTAAATTCTTTAAAAAATTCGTTATAAGCTTATAACGAAGTTGATATCCAGATCCTAGAATTCGTTATATTAAGAGTTTACTGTAATACTTTGTAATATTTACCAAATATTTATTTACTAAATCTATAATTGATTCATCAATTGTAATATGTTCAATTGTCAGATTTAATATAATATAGCAAATGCTAATTGTGAAACATATTGCATAGAAGCATTACTATAGTTATTTTAAACCTTTCCTAAAATCTGAGATATATACAAGTTTTTTATATTATCATTTATAAGTTTGAATAAAATTTTGAAACATTTCTTCACAGAAGACAATGCTTTCTATTTATAAATTTCAGTAGATGTTGAATTTGTGTTTATTAGTGATAAATTCTATTCTTTATATATGAAAATAAAGTTTTCTTTATTCTAGAAGTTAATATCTTTAAAGAATTTAAAATTTATTATTTAACTATTTAAATTTATAAGTTTATAGCTTAGATAAATAAAACAATTAATTAAAATTATTTCTTATTTTATGTCACTTTCATATTGTGAAATTCAATATTATTCGCTTAAACCTTTGAAATAATTAGCATGTTTTGTTAATAAGTAAATTCTGTAACTTGAAGAAATTCATCTTTTATGAGATAAATATTATATGTCCACAAATCCTTCATGATATTTTTAATGATAATCTAAATAAATTAAAAAATTAATGATATAATAATAATATAATAAATAGTAATATAATTTAAATATTATTACTTTTGTGAATTTATTTTTATTTTTGAGAATTACTTTCATTCTTGCAAACTGGTCTTCAATTACCTTTTGTCTTGCTAATAATAAATCTATTTTCATATTTATTTTTGAATTTTGCTTGATAATTTTCTTATTTGCATGTTATTATCTTCACTATCTTTAACATTATCATTATCTAAGTCATTGATTAAAAAATATTAAAATATCAATAAAAAAATATATAATATAAAAATAATTACCATCTAAATTAATAGATATACTTTTCCAAGTAGACAAGTTCAACTTATTTCTTTTTGATGCTAATTGCAAAGATGTATTAGGGCTCTGCTTGCTAGAGATTAAATTGTTAAATGCTTCTCTAGTTTTAGCAAGTTTTATAGTGTCTCTTTTTAGTATCTTAATTTTTTATGATAAGATTAGTAAAGGGTTGTTAAAAGTATTTTTTTTTATTAAAATTTATATTTAGTTGATGAACTGATGTAAAACTTTTTGCTTATATATATATATTTTTCAAATTACAAAATTGTATTAATAATTTATAATAATTAAAATGCAAGATTAAATGCATAAAGATAAATAAGAAGATTATTTTTCAGTTATTAAAAGTTAATAGTATTGTAAAATTTATTGTATTAATTTATTATAATTTATAATAATTAAAATGCAGATTTTAAATAAATAAATTTAAATAAGAAGATTATTCTCAAAATAAAGATTAAGAAAAATAATTGCATACATAACATATATTTTATTTATTTTAAATTCTGTAGAAAAGTAAAAGTTTCACACATTTGATTCCTTCTTTAAGCTGTATTATAACTACTTGATCCAATGTCAAGTATAGAATTCAAATAATAAATATAATATAAATAATACCTTTGCAATTTATTTGAATTTTTGCTGTAACTAGTAAGATATTTTATTTGTAAAATTATTTACTATATTAAGTATTCTGCATTTTGCATATAAATAATCTGCATACGAAAAAAATTTATTGTATGAAGTATTTGCAAAAAAATGTGTTTTGATCTGAAAATTTATATCTTAAAAAATTTTAGGGTATTACACAAACCTGTATGGTACGGTTAGTAATGTATGTATTGTACGGGGGTTTTTTTTAATGTATGTATGGTA